GTTTCCGACGTACTACTAATGTGGAGATAGTATGGTTTTTGATGAAGTTGAATAATGTGATGGTGAAAATGGGTTTTTTTACCATGATTGTTATTAGTCCTAATTTCAACATCAGGAATACTGTATTCAATGGTAATCAAAGTACATTTTAAATTAAATATAAGACAATTTAAATACATTTACTATTAACCTAGAACTTAAGTTAATTTCAGTCTTTATAAATTTAAAGAATCTTATTTTATAAATCATAATTGCAGAATTAATCAATAATCCAGAAGCATAATCAGTTCTAATTTCTATTGAGTAACTATTAGATTCAATCCCTTAAAAGCCTTATTTAAACCTACTAAATTAATTTGTAAGTGTCATTATAATGATTAATACTCAGGGTCATTTTATATTAGAATTAAGTTAATTATATGTCCAAGAGTAAATAGAATACTATTCCAAATGTAGAAATTTAGTTTCTATATAAAACATCATGAAGATAAACAAAGCAGGTAGAGAGGATGTAACGAAATTAGGATTCAAATTTTCTTTATGAGATAGGAACTATAAAAGCAAAACAATCTTAATTATGATCAAGAAAAATGTGGAACATAATGTCCTTATTCAACAAATAGTTTCGAAGTTTTAAGTTTTTATTTGGATATCCATTACTCCTATTTAATTGAAGATCATTTGTAGTTCAGTATTTTTGCCTTACCCACTAAAAAGATATTTTTGTTAGTCATTATTAAGGTTTGAGAACTTTATAAACTCTGTGCACTATTTTAAACAAGAGTCTTTAGTTCCATTTAGATAGAGTCTTTCCTAAATCTATTGTTTTCAGCTATTTTTGAATATTCATTAATTTCTACCCTAAGAGGATTTAATATACTTTATGTTAAACACTAAACTTTAGTGGCTGAAATGTTAACATTTTTTTGATGTTTTGAATTTTTCTCATTATAAGTTCTAAAAGACGAAAACAAATTTGAATCCTTTTATCTATATTTTAGATACTCTGATTGTTAGAAAAGAATGGAGGATGAAAACTTATAATTTAATCAAGTAATGCATTTATGACATAATATCAATTTCCTTGGAAATACTTTTCATTCGTTTTAAGAGCAGCCTAAATATTTGATTATCCTCTATCAATGTTAAGATTGATAATTTCGATAAACATTACACGTTATTAACGATAACATTCCGAACTTATCGTTAGCTAAATCATGATATTTATCGTTTATAAGCGTAAATATAAGAGACTGAAATTGGGGTAATCGTTTCGTAAATGAAACGCACTTATTTATTTATTTATTTTATTACAGTGACTTCTCTCTATATCTAGAATTTATTAAATGAAATTCCATTTTATCAATGTTTTGATTGAGAAAAAGATTAATTTTTTACTTTCATATTTATACTTATGATAATGCATTTGTGTCTTAATTTCACACATTTTAATTAAGGATCAGATATGGAAATAACTAAACTCATATGAGACGGGCTTAATCTTAACCAGCCAGTAACTTTCTAAGCTCGTACAACTAAATATTCTAATCTTTTGTTCTCCGTACTACCTCAAAGTGCCAATTGATCTTATTACTAATACTTAACCATTCTATTTTAGTTAGATTTATTAGATTTCCAAATTAACAAAATCTTTATTGCCTTTACTCCCTACAATTAAAGTCTTCTCGAAATTCAGACTAAAGTCATTATTGTTCTCAATATCTATTCTTATCACTATTTAAATTAATTGTGATTGACAAATCATGTAATTCTCATGATTTATCCTGATAATAAAAATATTCAGATACTTTAATATTTCCTATACGAGATACCCTATTTCTGGTTCAATTCTCAAATAAATCTCATAATATAGATAATCAAATAATTAGGAATCAAAATATAGCTATGATATACTCCATATTTACACTTAAATCTCTCTCATTCACAGGTTGAAAAATATCTAACCTTATCAGATTAATTAAACTAAGATTATAATGTATTTGACAAATTCAAAGGAAATATCGTAAGCATCTGAATTCTAATTATGGTATAAATCATCTTAAACAAAGTTAAATTTGTAAATCAAAATATCCCAAAGTCTATCAAGAAAATTCCACTTCGTTGATTTATCTAGACTACTTCTATATAATAAGAATTCCTGTATCTTCGATGCTGATTTTACTACATATTTTTCGAAATTAGCCTCAAGAACATAATCTCTTAATTGGTAATAAATTTACTTCTTGAAGAAAAAACTAAAGGTAGGTTCTTAAATTTATCTCTATGCCTGCACATCTTTAATTACAAATTAAAGTGATCTTAGGAGGTCCTAATATTCAATTAACAAATAAAATTCTCTTTTATTCTCCATTTTAATATATGTTCCTAAAATGCATAAGCTTCAAATTCGTATTTCCATTAGCAATAATAATGAGTTTCCAAATCTTTTCTCTATCTTAGTGATGAACTTTACTTTACATTAATTGTTATTTTATCATCTAGTTTTTTGATGTTCTTTGTGAGAAACCGAAGACCCAAATTAATATTTCATTACCTAAAGTGCCAAATAAAATACAAATTATCACATTTCTTCAATTGCGATATTATGATAAACTTAATATTAATGAAGATTTTTTATGATACGGATTTAAGAAATGCAATCAATAATTACTTTTTATACCTCATTTGTTTAAGAGAAATAATTAAAAGAAGACAATTAAAATTGATTAATGTGATGACCGTATATTATCCAAACTATCCCCAGATATCAAATCATCTTGATGTGCTTAGACTGGGAAAACAGCCTTAATTCAAGAATATTTGTAGCAAAAACACAAACCCCTCCATTTAATTGGGTT